GACACTGTATATGTTAATGCAATCACCCATAGAGAAAACTGTTATACCAACGTCTGCTCTGAAGGGCTTTGGAATGCTTGAAGCTGTCGATGGCTCATTTGTAGTACCAACAGCTGAGGCTGCTACGCTGTTTATACTGCCCCTGTGATTTCACACTGGCAGCGATTCAAACGCTGCCTCATACAGGACCCACCATCAGTACCGCAGCTCCTCTGGCCTATTCTTAGACGAGACATAAGCACCCAACACCTTCCTCTTAATGCCACGACATACAGGACGTGTGAACATGTTAAGGCACATAGACGCCTCCCTCCAACACCATTCCACAAAAATAACTGAAGTTCATTTTGAGTTAATGCCACCGGACAGTTTGACGGCGCTGTAAAGATAGGCAGGTTAGCATGTTAGCTGAGAACACACAGACCGCGCTAAACAGCCATAATGATGGTTGTGGGGCTTCTCTTTCTTAGTCTTTCCTCTTTTTAACCTCCTGCATTATTTTTTCCTAGTTACCATCCCTGCCTTCACTGGCCGGCTGCCCCACATGCAGGACAAAAAAAAAAGAAAGAAAAAAGAATGTCATCAGTCTCACTTAAGACCTCTTTGGAGACTGCAACACATGGAGAGTACTAGCCTGTTGGTGGCCTCATGTTCCACTGGCTATATTCAATTTGGCAGACCGGTAGGAAGCTTAATAATTTTCACATGCATATTTAACTGGTGAAATAGTGATAGTTTCCTCGTTCTCACAATGGAGTAAAGTTGTAGTTGTGAGTGGAAACGCAGGGCCTCAGTCTGTGATCTTCATCATTAGAGATGTCTGTCTCTCCTCTGTCTGTCACGGGGAATTCGAGTCAGGCTTCACAGTAACTGTAAACTGGCAGCCTGTTCACACCTAGCCCAGGGGGGAGGATATAAACTTTGCAACACACCCACTGAAATGACACTAACTCCCTCCCACACGTGATGCGACAACATGCAAGAAAACTTGACTTCATTTGAAATTTCTAAGTGTATTACAGTGGACTGTGAAAGTAATCACCCCTTGAATCCTATTTTATTTTTATTGAAAGCAAGAGTTCCTTTTTGTGATAGATCACAAATATTAGTGCATTTACTGCGGTAGGGGAAGGCAGGTTTTCAGGTTTTCACTTGTTCTTTGTTAAATAAAAATTCTAAAAAGGGCGGAGTGCATTTCTGTTAAGTCGCTGAGTTCAACTTTGTGGTAAACACCTTCTCCCGTTTCCAATACAGCTCCAGGCCATGTAGGGTAACCTACGTCTTAAACTTTTGCCACCTAGAGATGGAAAATGTTTCCTATTCTCAGAATGTATGGAGACGATATATGCAAGTATATATGCAATTTTGTTGTAGCTTTGATTATATGTTAAGGACTGACTGGATGTCCTTGCTGAAAAAAAAGGTATTCCCACACATGATTCACAT